AATCTTCACTATTCGCACACTCAGACTAAGTACAAGGGGAATTAAAATATCTGCGTAACCCATAAAAAAATACAAACCTCTGTGAACTACGAATTGGGACTCTAATTACTCCTAAGAGGATATGTAGGCATAAGATTAAAATCATGGTGAGTTCCCCTAATAAAAATTAAAACCTTATTTGCTAAGATTGCGCTTGTAACCCTAGAATCCTTGTTAACAAGGTAGATGAGGGATGCCTAACACCTTCCCTTCGTCTAGAACCGAGTCCAAAAACCTAGAATCTATAACTTTTTAGGGTTATCCTTTATATTCCCTTTCTTATGATAAAAATTAAGGGTGACAAATCTTATTTTAAAACTGGTTACAACAGTTGGCAACTCTGCTGGGGACTCAACCCTAGGTTTATAAGTCTTGCCTTTTAGTTTTAGGGTGTTTTGGGTTTTTCTTAATTTTGGGATTTTTTATATTTGTTTATCTATTTTATTCATTTGTTTATTATTATTTTTATCATGTTATTATAACTATGGTGGGATTTAAATTTTGCAAAAAGTATTTTCAAAAAAGCCTTAAAAAGAAGGTTCGTCTATTAGCCAAGGGGTTACATCTTCTCTATGAGTTTATGTGACGACTTCTCTTACAGTCGGAGGAATTCCGTAAAAGGAATATGTCTCAAGAGACATCCTCTTTGGAAGTAGGACTTTGGAATGAAACCTATGAACCTTTGTACAACCTTTAAACCAAAGTCTCATGATGAGACCTTTCATGACCTAGATACAAAAGTTTCGGTCTGTGAAGAGGCTCCACTTGAGGGAGGCCATTATGCCTTTCCCTCTAGTGTTATTCATGATACCCTTAAGGAAACCACCTTATGGGGAGTAGAATATCCGTAGGCCAAAACTAGGAGCCTACCTGCTAAGGGTACCATTCATAAAATCCCATAACTAATCCCTATTGTTGTACCCCAAAATTTTCCCTCCCATTATTCAAGACATTCTTCTAGGGTTTTCATTTGCTCAAGGTTGCTCAAGAATTGATTAGACAATTCTTCTCATAAGCAATAGATCTACAACTAGGGTTTTACTTTTCTCAAGGAAGATTTGATTTCTAAGGTCTCAAGTGGATATCATGGCTCCTCATATGTCCCAATGAATTCTCATGACAAGTTTCAAGCCTTGCATCACAAGTTTGCTCAATCAATTGCTCAAATGACTAAAAATTAGCTATATTGGAAAAAAGTCAATTATGGTCAACATACAATCAAACCTCAAGATATTTGGTCAACATCAACATTTTGAAGTCACATTCATTATTTGATCAAGGTTTGATCGTGATTCATCAAGAAAACTCAAGATTCACCAAAAGTCAAAAGTTACCAAATTAGGGTTTTCTTGAGAAGTCAACTGAACTTTGACCAAGCATAACTTTCACATGCTTCATCACATTTTTCTCAACCAAAGCTCATTTTTAAGGAAATTCAATTCTATACAACTTTGTCTCTATAAGCTCAAGTCCAAAAAAATGCTTCATTTGAGAGATATGGGCCAAAACATTATAGGTTATTTCAAAAGTCAACAAAAATACACTTTTTGTCAAGGAAACTTACATCAAGATAAATTCTTCAAATCCAAAAATTATCAATTTATAGATTGAAGAGGACATCTTGGGCTTTCCAAAAAGTCCAAGATCACCTTCATATGATAAAAATTGAGAGAGTTATGATTGGTACAAGTTGAAAAATTTTGAGAAAAGGCATGAAACCAAAAGTGACCAAACTAGAATTTTTAGGCTAATTGGCTATTGTTTCAAGGTCTATGCATGTTATATACTTCATAGTGAACCTCAGGTCTCATTCATACACCCCTTTGGTTTTTATTTTATTTTTATTTTTATTTTTATTTATTTAAAATTCAATATAAATGAAATAAAACAAGGCTTCTTACAAAGGTCCAAGCCCATTCTTTGGTTGACCTAATTTCCTCATTATATATTCTCATCAATTCAGACTAGCATGCACATGAACCCTTGCACAAAAACACCTCTCCAAAATTCCAAAAATATCAAAGAACTAGGGAAACTTGTAAACCCTAATTGCACCTACTCTCAAGGCAAACCAACCTTGCCATTCACTTCAAAAAGAACTGTAGGGTAAGAAGGGACCGTTTGTGATGATCCAAGAGGCCTGAAATGCATGGACACACATCATCGGTTTTATATTCTTGCATGAATTCATATTTCTGTCTTTCTTTGTGTATTAATGCATACTAACATCTCTAATGCGTTTATGAGGTTTAATAGTGCAAGAATAACCCATCGTGTGATCCCCATGATGGCTGAATCGCGAATGGCCATACTCATACCAATTTGAGTTATCTTCTTCATATCTCACAAACCAATATGTTTTATCCAAAAATAACACTCCCATTGAATTAGTAGGGCTTGATTTAGGGGGGTATGGTCCCTTTGGATCGCTAATGATTGTTGTTTTGTAGGTTGAAAAAAAGGCTCTTCAGAGAAGATGATCGGAGCTAGGGCTCTGGCGCCTCTCCGGTCCAGGAAATGGTTTTATTACATATTTATTTTGTTTCACTTATATCACCGGATGTACAGCCACCCCAGTGGTAAGGCAGCGTGCGTTAAGGCATTACTCTACAAAGGCGTGGGTTTGATCCCTGCCTTTTGTTCTTTTTTCATATTTTCTGTTCACATATCACATGCATCTCTCTTCATAGCATCAACCCTGCACCCTTTACCTATATCCACATGATCATCATCAGCCAATATCAATGTCTCAGACGCGCAAGCACATGGTGAACCTTATGGAGCGACCACAGTGGATCCAGCGCTGGCACTAGTGGGCCTGGACCACAATTGTAATTCACACCCCCCTGTTTTCTATATCAGCCCCAAACTCTTTTTCTTATATTTATCTCTTTTTCTTTTACTTATTTGTTTTTACTGTTTAATTAAAATACCAAAATATTAGCTTTAGGTTAAAATTAATTAGGTTTAGTTTTAATCACCCTTTTTTAAAATTAATTTAACTAATTAACTTTCTTAATTAAAATCCACTAGATTCATAGGCTTTTATTAATTAAATTAATATCAAAATTAATTAGGTTTTTAGGTTTATTTAATTAATTAATCACAAATCATTTTTTCATTAAAAAAATACCAAAAATCTTTTATTTTCTATTTTCACATTTTTTAGATCGACTGTATGCATAATAGCTAGCTTTATTTTCCGCTTTATTTTCCATTATCATGTAATTGCTTCAGAATGTAATAGTTATAGATTTTTACTTTCCGCACTCTACTATTATGTAACTTCCCCAAGGCCATGTAGCATCGTAGGGACTTTATTTTCCGCACTTTACCGCTTTTTATTATTTTATGTTTACTTCTTAGTAATTAGGGTTTGCATGGAAAGATAAAAAACCTGACGATAAAAAACCTTAATCTCAAAGATAAAATAACTTAAAGTAACACACCTCGCACACTTACACCTCTAGGGTAACCTTCCTTGTTGCCTTCAGAAAACAGTCATATCCCTCGAAAGTGGGGATGCTTTAGCAAAATCCCTCGATTCAAAGATCATAGTCCCTCAATGACCCTTCGACGTTTCCTTTTTGGTAAATGATTTAGTCCCTTACGAAAATTGCTAAAGCATCCTTACTAGTTGCCTTCGATGACTGTATAATGACCCTCGCCCGTCCCTTCACATTCAACGATAGGGCTTCCTACTAACTAATGGTATGGATAGCATTATCTAAAGGATGAGGAAAATTACAAGAACAACCTTGAGTGGGTAGATACTCGTAATCACTTGCTCATAAAGCTCTTCAAAATAAAAACATTTCACACAAACACTTTCAAAATAATTTCAAAACACTTTACATTGGCAACTTTTCAAAATATTTTCAAACACAAAGAAATTTTCAAAAAGTGAGCTAAGCGATTGTTGCACCCCAAAATTCGCCCTCCTAATTTCATTCATTTGGCTTAGACTCGTGCATTCATCCACATATATTCCATTAGGCCGTCTACATTAACATAGCATACATTCGCATTTAATAAAGTGTATGAAGTTCAAAAGATCAGTGGATTGTACATTAGAGCTTCACATGGATCGAGATTTCTACAACAAGTACAGTCTGATTCTTTTTTCCACCCGGTTCTTTATGTGAACATTAAAGTGTGAGATTAGGGCGTGAAGTCTGATTATCAGGGACTAATTTCCTCATCAAGAATAATAAGGTGTTTGGTGTCTAAACAGATGATTGTGTCTAGTTCAGTCATTATAAAAGAACTTGATTTGGTGGATTTCTTGAATCATGATTTATTTCTCTGTAGGCTTTATAATCAGATGGCTTCTCATGATTAAAGTCTTGTTTGTTCTCATTTGTGTTGATTGCTCTGAACTTGTGGATTGAACTAGGTTTCATTATTCATTCGAGTAATTACTTAAGGCAAAGTGATTCCATGAGTTCAAATGGTCAAAAATGGATGAAAGTTGGAAGGGTGTTACATGGTTGTCATGGTGTACATCATCAAGTTCCTTTGTAACAATATCTATTCATCTAAATCTCCTAATGCATTCAGATGGTATGAAAAGCTAAGATCGTGATTCACTAATGGTTGATTCAAAGATTGAGTTCATTCATGAATTTCAAGATTTTGTTCAATATTTTCGCAAGGTTTTTTACAAAGATTCATCGAAACGATTTTGGACAAGCGAAGCTCTCACTCATTCAAGACCATTATGATTCAAGACGCCATTCAAGTTATACGAAAATGCACTCATTCACATCAATTCCATTACAAGAAAGCTACATATATCACTCCATCATCATTTTCAAAGGGAAAAGAAACTGCATGAAATACATGAAAAAAGAACTACATAAACATATGCCTATCCCTAACACTAATCTCCATCTTCAGTATTCTTCATGTTCTTTTATCCAGACTTTTTCAATAGTTCTCCGTTTACATCCAATACTTTTTCAATTCTCCTTAAGTCCTCCATGATCAAAATAACTTTGCAACTTGGTTCTCACCCTTAACATCAAGCTTACCTGCTGCATACGACTAGTAGCCATCCGAAACCAATTCGGAAACCGAAGCTATCTTGCAAAAAAAATAGATTGACACTTCATCAACTAATAGCGTATAATAAATTCAGAAATTTAAAGGTGAGCCAAGTCAATTCCATCAGTGCATAACAATTTAAGGCATTCCAACATAGTTCAGTTTAGAGTAACATTACCTCACATGTATCAGGTCCACATTTCAATCTACATTCACCTTTAAATCCGTATTCAAAGTCGGCTTGTGTATGCAGCCCAAATTCACATTCTAAACCACTCAAGATTCACCCATATGCACTTTCAACTTCAGTTTGGATACACGTTAAAACACACCTCTATTCACTGAAGAAAACAAAATCAAACAGAAGAAGCATCAGGAAAAAGAGATAAAAAGGATATCTAAAAATTGTGAGATAAGAAATTGAAATAACATGAACTGGGCATTTAATTCATGACAGAAATAGGGAGAAACAGATTCAGAAGTCCAACTGATAACTAACTCAAAAATCAGAACAAATCCTGACCATTCAGTTTATAACATAATCCATAGCTAACCATTCAATCAACTAACTTTAACCAATTCCTAATTAACTTCTAACAGCTCTAACAGAATATAGAGGAGACTCACAAGATTTATCAGGGGGGCTTCACGATTTTTCATAGGAATCTCCATCACCGAAACTTTCTCTCCTCCTCTCACCTTGATCTTCATGATTCTTCACATTTCACTGGTGAGAATCACAAAAATACCAGAAAAAACTCTCTGAAACACTCACTTCTACCTCTCCCAATCTTTACTTTCCATCTTCATCATCACCATTTTCTTCACTTTCACTCTTCCTCGTTCTTCCCCCAATCTTCACCTCCAATTCCTGCACTATCTCATCTATGAACTGCATTGAATCTTCTTCAACTTTCATCAAATCGTCCACTCTCTGATTCACACCTTTATCTTTATAACAACAATAACATCCTTCTTCATCAACCTTCATTCACAAAAAGGCTATATCTGCATAATCCTCAACAAATCTTCATCTTCCTCAATCACAACCTCTAAGCCCTCTCAAATTCGCTGCATTTTAAAAGATTTTTTTCTCTACAACTTCCATATTAATCAGCGTCTTTGTGCTTCAATCTGCAGCTTCATAACAACAACCTCTTTGCACTCCTACATATTCGACGTACCTCCATCACTTTTGATTTTTAGAATCTTCATCGCACAACATTCTTCAACCACAAGAATGCAACACAAACAACCACACTCAGCGTGTAACAACAAATCATAATTTCTACCCTACAGAAAGAGTTAAAGAAGAGGAATTGGCACAAAGGAAAGAAGAGCTTGATATTACCTCCAAATTCAAGATCCTTTAGGTCTATCTTCATGACGTCATTGTTGAAGAACAACCGGAGTGTCTCCGGTAGGTAAGCGGAGTCGTTCGCCACTCTCCTTCATATGTTCTCTATACCATAGTGTAGAACAGACCTCCATGACTAATTTCCTTAAGGTCTCTTGATTCAATTCGCTGTTGTTGGAATTTAATCGCAGATTCAATAAACCTAGGGCGTCTTTTCTAAACTCCCGATCTCGCTGTTTGACGGAGCTTCTATGAAATCCAGGGATAGATTCGAGCTCTGAGCGTTAACCTAGGTTGGATTTTTTTGATTTTCTTCTGAAAAGAAACAGGGATTTTGGCTGAGGGTGCTCCAGTGGCTACAAGCGATGCTGAATAAGAGTGTAGGGAGAAATTTCTTGAGAGAAGAAAAATGTGTGAATTGGAACAGAATGGTCATAAGACCTAGTATAATAAAAACGTACAGTTTAGGGCCATTATTTTCTTTTTTTGGTAAGATTTGGGTCGTACAGAAATCTAACTGTGGATTTTATTGTTTGCTAATGGACTGAATTGTCCTGCTAAAATTAGGTCCATTACACTATGTTTTGGGGGAGCCTGATCATTTGTAACAAAAATAACATCATGAACTCTTAGTTGAGCCTCCGGTGCCTAAACTTTACTTCACCATAGACCTTGATCTTGACTGTACCCCCTAAAGCCCATAACAACTAGTTTTTGCACACTTGAGATAGCTAGAAGAAAAAACCTCCTGCTCGACTTTGTATAGCTAGGCCTAGCACCCATATTACTTCTATATCCCCCTGATTTCAGCTTGCACCCCCTGAGGTTATTCTATTAGTAATTTCTTTTAAATGATTTTATGAATTGTTTAGATTTGTTTGAACTTTTTTTTTTCACATAACAAGAATTATTTAATCAATAAAAAATTTGTTAGATTTTTTATTTGATTTTAAGGAATTAAATCCCGATTATACGATTATTTGAGATTTGTAATTAACCTTTTCTTTTTGAGATTTGAGTCTTATGCAGGATAGGAAGATTTGCTTGAGTTTTTGATTGTGTTTTATTTTCACATCGATGATGCTTCTACACTTATTCCGAGCATTAGATTTCAGACACTTTTCTTTGATTGGTGAAGCTTTCGTGAAGATCATCGGGTTTCTTTGTTTTGATAGGATTTGCTACAGGTTTATATTCGTTTGGTTTTTTCTCTTATTTACCTCATTTCAGCATTTATCTCTTTCTAGAAATCATGTGAAGTAGGAAGCATGAGATAAAGAGCGTGTGCTCGAAGTCGTTGTTTAAAGACCTATAGCAGGCTTTTTGCACTTTATTTGCTATATGCGTTGTGCTTATCTTTTTTTCCTTGGTTTTTGATTAATGAGTCACTCAATTTAAGAATTAAGATCACGAATTCCCTCTCAGTGCATGCTCCCTATAGGATTTTATTGCTTTCCTTAGTTGTTGATCGATGAGTCACTCAATTTAGGAATTGAGATCACAACTTTGCTCTCATTGCATGTTCCCCGTAGGATAAATTTTTTAGACTTTCTTTGGCATGCATCTCATAATGTTATTGATTTCTTCGTTTGTTATAATTTTGTATTGAATTGTGACAATTCTATTTGGTTGTAACACATGATATTTGGACATTATTATCCTTGTGTGACTCATCCCCATTTGTAAATAATTGTACCCCCATCCCCGGATACTTTTGTAATAACTTAGACTTTTAATTTCCGCAATTTATTGCTTTCAATATATTGTATAGTAATTAGGCGTGTAAGGCAAGATTCAAAATCAATCGTTGGATGACCTAATACAAGACAAAAAGCATGTAAATTGAGCATACAATGCACACTTGCACCCCTAGGGTTACATCCACTTGTTGCCTTAAAAATGGGCCATGTTATGCATGTTGGGTACTTTGGCAAAACAAAAAAAAAACAAAAGATCATAGTCCCTCGATGATGCTATCTTGGTTGCCTAAACAAAATGAACAAGTCCCTCAAAAAAATTTCCAAAAATACTTGACACAATTGCTATCATGGTCTATACGATGACCCGCGCCTGTCCCGTTTAACATCCTAATACAAAGTTGTTTATCAAATGCAATGGTAAAACAACACTGTCAAAAGGGTTAAAAACATAGGAAAGATCTTTGAGTAAAACAGGGTAGACAACTCTTAGTTACTTGATCAAAAACTTGCAAAACATCCTTGATATTTTTCAAACACACTTCACAACACAATTTCAAAACATTCCCCAAATCAAACTTTCAAACATTGAAACATATTTTCAAAAGACATACACCTTTGTATATATTCAAACAAGAATCATTACAAAGGTTGCCACAACGATGGCTTCTTTTTCAAAGCATTTTCAAAACCACACACAAAGCACCATTTCAAACAATTTAAAAAGCAAAAGTAAGTGATCTAAACAAGTAACTAAGAGCCCATGGATAACCATGGATGAAAAGGGTGCTAGCACCTTCCCTTTTCATAATCTACTCCCCGAACCTAAGAAAACAGCTCAAAGGTCTTTCCTGTGATTTTTGACCTTTCCTTAGGATAAAATAAAAAGTCGGTGGCGAATCTTGCTAAACCGAAACATTTGCGAACACAAACGCAAAACCTCTTGTCAGTTCTCCCACCGTATCACAGAACTGGCGACTCTGTTGGGGACATATCTAAAAGTGGAGTAACCTTAGCGTTTAGATCACCTTTACATGCTTACCTTGTTTTCTTTGTATGCTTTACTTTTGGGTTCCTTGTTTGGGTTTGTTTTAAATCCTACACCCGGATTTGGGGGCACCTTTTAGGTAAGTAGCAATAAACTGTGAGGGAACTGTGCGGGGTATACCAACATGGTTGAAGCAGTGGCTACGTTAGTGCGACATATTTGTGGGTACCGGTAGCCTTTGAGTCAATCAAAGAGAATACAGGGCCGCTGAGTGATGTCATGAAGCACTAATGAACACTTAGAACCTTACTTGACCAACTTGGCCTTTTAGGATGTAGTGAGATGACCGGCTTTGGTGCAGTCCGAAGTTGGTAGATACTCGATACTACACTCATTGAGGATTGTCTTCTTAGAATATTTCGGTCGCCAGTTAAGTGGCTAAACTGAAACAATGAACACAGAAAATAATTCAGTGATATTGAGCTCCTCAGAACCCGGTTACTATTTCTAGGACATGTTGAGCCAACTAACTTCAAGAGGGTACTTACCTAGAAACCCCATGCAAGCCTGAACTTAAGGACTTGTCTGCTTTGTGTGAATATGACTGTCTGTATATACACTTGCTTACTTTTGCATACTTGTACATAACATCATAACATCATACCATATCATTTTCAGTAACCATTTCAAGGATCTCAAGGGTCTTTGATGCAGGGGCACATTGAACCAGACGTCTACCAAAGGGCAAGAGGATTCATTTTCCTCTAAACAAATGTCGTTAAAGATCAAGTACAACAACTTGAATCAAGGTCTATGACCCACTTGACATGGTGAGCTTGATTCTTGTGGAAAGACATCTACCGATCCAAAGTTCTCCAATTAAAGACGTTGATCGAAGTTCAACCTCTAACATTTTCTTGTGTTTACCCCGCGAGATCCTTGAAAACATGCATCCACATATCATGCATCGCATCATGACGGGTTTCCCCCTTTTCATGTCTCCTTACCTTCCTACTGTTTATTTCAGTAGAGATGGCTCTAGAGAGGACTGTCAAAGATATTCAGGCTCAAAATGCTCAGCTTCAAGAGATGTTCTTGAACCTGTCCAAGGGGCAGGAAGAAGTGAAAGCTCTCCTCACAATGGGAATGGTTACAGGGAATCCAGGAGGCGTCAGGAATGATAAGTTGGAAGGGCTATAGATTGAGATGGCAACAATGAGAATTCAGATGATGGGACAACTGGTGGGCCAGATGGCTCTCATTCAAAACCTGGCTCAAGGACAAGAAGAGTTAAGGGTCCTCATCAACAAACTGCATCAATATGGATGTAACCCAGTGGGGTAAACAACTATGGTTGAAGATCAAGTCACCATTCAGCCTCTTTTGAGACAAGAAGTCAAAGAAAAGTCTCCCAAATTTGCTTCAGGGTCACAAGCCCAACATCAACAGGATAATCGGCGGGAGCAAAATACATCTGAAAAGCACTCCACTAAGATTAACATGCCATTATCCCAAGTGCTACAACGCTTGTTGGAAGTCCAGCTGATTGAATTAAGGGACCCCCATCGGCGTCCCAAAACATCCTCCTCAGGGTACAATCCAAATGCGAGATATGCGTATCATTCCAACAGTCTTGGGCATGACACCGATAGCTGTTGGGCATTGAAAAACAAAATTCAAGATCTGGTTAAAGAAACAACGTTGGAATTCACATAAGATGGTCAGATGAAAATCTTCCGCTGAGGGTTCTCCACCTGAAATGACAAGCTTGAACTAAGAGGCTTTTGTTTCATTTTAATTTTCAAGTTGTTATTTCTTTTGTTATTCAAACAATTATCTATTGATGTCAAACTCTGTTTCATTAATGACATTTAACTCTTGCTAAAAGTTATGAGCCTTTAGAGGGAGGATGGCGAAAACAATGCCATAATCTCATACAGTATGCTTTTGGACAGACCTTGCTGACGATGTACAGGAGTTTCTTTCAAATCCTAAACACTGGAGTTCTAAGAAAGATAATCCCTAATCAACCCCTTTGAGCCAAAGAAGTATAAGTTTTCTGTTTAAACACAAATTGAAACCTTTAATCAAACCTGGGGAAGGGTAGTCTCTCAGTTAATTCAAAATGCGCGTTTAGTCGCAAACTCTCAGTTCGTAATACATCGAACGACATCAAAATTTCCTTTAGAACCAAAAGACAGTGATGGTTCCTTATCTCATAGGAAGTCATTATCTCTCAAAAAAAGAAAAGTCCACTGAGCCAAAACCTACAAAGGAGGCTTAAGAAAGTTGGGGCATCCCGCTGACTGTAATCTCAAAAATAAGAACAGTTAGGCAAAAATT